AACGATCAATCCAATCACAAGGAAAAGAAACACTTCTGCGAACGGTGTCTGCACGGGTACAGTAGACTTGACCTGCTGGAAGCGCATAAGGAAGACTGTCGAGGTTGCGGGCAGACCGCTATTAGGATTGACATGCCCGACGAAAAGAAAAATAGTGTCCAATTTAATCATTATAAAAAACAAATGCCTGTGCCTTACGTCATCTAAGCCAACTTCGAAGCCTTAATCAAACAGATCGATCACGTCGCTCTGTCCTCGGAAAAAAGGTTTTACAAACCAAACGCAGGAACACGAAGCTTGCGGGTTTGGATACGTGGTCGTTCGATACGATGGACAAACGTGCGCTCCCATGGTCTACTGAGGTCCCGACGCAGCCGAAAACTTTCTTACGGCCTTACAACACGAAGAGAAAAAAATAAGCGACATTTTATCCAACATTATACCCATGCGTATGATGGAGGATGACAAAATCAGGCACAAAATGTCGACTCATTGCCACGAGTGCAACCAACCGCTGAACGGGGATTCCGTAAGAGATCATTGCCACATCACAGGTTGGTATCGAGGTGCTGCTCACAACGTGTGCAACCTAAAGCTAAAATTCGATCCCCCAAAGATCCCCGCGGTGTTCCACAATTTAAAAGGTTACGATGCCCAACTTATTATGCAGGCCATCTCGAAATTAGAGGGCGATATAAAGTGTATCCCCAACAACATGGAAAACGCATCTCCTTGTCATTAAACAGGCTGAAATTCATCAACAGCATCCAGTTTCTCCTATTGTCTCTCGCCAATTTGGTCAAGGCCAATGATACCTTCCCCATCACCCATCGATACACCGACGGGGCGACTTGGTCTTTGCTGTTGAGGAAGGGTGTGTACCCCTACGAGTACATGGACGATTGGTCCAAGTTTGAGGAGACACGATTACCTCCCATCGACCGCTTTTATAGCTGCTTAACCGAATCCGATATCACCAAGGGCGATCACCTGACCTGTATTTAAGAACGGATGTGCTTCTGCTCGCTGACGTGTTCGAGGTATTCAGAAAAAAGTGTCTAAAACAGTACAGTACATAAATTATGGAAAAAATCTATTACAGCCCACGGGGATACTGGAAAGACTCGGCTCGGAAAAAACAAACAAGCTCTCTGGCAAGTGTACCTGCCACTGCCCCAATACATCCTGAGAAGAAAATTTGACATTTCAACGCCGAATTGCGTCCATCAAGCCCACCTCCTGTTTCTCCCACACGACAGGGTGAGGCGTAAAACCTACAAGTACCCCCTGACCGTCGTGGACATCGCCAGTCGTTACAAGGAAGCCTAACCATTAACAACCAAAGATTCGAATGAAGTGGCCAAGGCCTTGGAACGCATCTACAAATGCAGTCCGCTGACATGGCAAACCGAGCTGCAAGTCGATCCTGGACGCGAGTTTATGGGAACCGTGTCGCAGCTGATGGCCAAGCACCAAGTCCAGGTTCGACGAGGCGTGGCTGGAGCTCACCGCAGCCAAGCCATCGTGGAGAGGTTCAATCACACCTTGGCCGAACGCCTATTCTCGCACCAGTACGCGCAGGATTTAATCTCTCCACAAAACAGAAATACAGAATGGGTTGTACGCTTGCCGCGAGTGGTGGATGCCATCAACAATGAAGTCACCCCATTCCTGAGCAAGAGACCCATCGAAGCCATCCAAATGAAATAAGTACTTGTAACAGCAGGGCGAACAGCAGAAAACGGGCCACTGATCCGATATGGTCCATGAAAACGTACCACCTCGACCTGGTCGACATCAAAGAAGGCAAAAACCGCCTCCGTGGTGTAGTGGTTTGAGCGTCTGCCCGGAGAGCGAAAGGTCTCGGGTTTGATCCCCTACAGCGTCATACCAAAAGGCGTTAAAATATGGTTCTTGTTGGTCCCTGCCTGGCTCTCGGCATTAATGGGTACAACAAGGACTGGTCGGCTCGGAGTCAGTATAATGTGTCTGAGTGGGGTATTCATGCTTCACTGTGGCATGGTATCTCAGTGGGCTAGCACTATAAAACCAGCTTCAGTCTGGGCTAGTACAAGCAGCCGCACATACACATACACATGCATGCACATCGTCATATGAGCGAAATATTCTCAAGCACAACGTTAAACCCAGTTTTACCTCACCTCACCTCAAAGAAGGCGAACCGAACTTGTACTAATTAAAAGTCGGGCCGCAGAGAGGGTTCGTCAGAGAGGAATTGCAAATTGTCCCACACGACACGATATTACTGCCTTATTAAAGATTCGTCTATATATATAGCTATCATCATGTGGACACTGATCGAAAAACGGTTGTTCATGCGTGTCGGGGTGGATGTCAATGGGCTCAATATTTACTCAGCCGTACGTCGAGTGATTCGTCGAGGGAAATTCACCACCCTGTATGATAGTTTAGGTCTCGTGGGCACCGAACGGTTACAACGTCTCATGGATACTTTAGTCGATTATAGCCTCGAAACCCGAGATCGCACCGCCCAGTACTTGACCTACTCTGTTGCCTACTGCGATGAGTTTATGGCAGACCCCATCCATAAAATTGTCACTGAATATTACGGCTACGTGTAAAAAATGCCAAAAAATCCAAAACACTTCCACCACAAAAACACACATGCGCACAACCTTTAACACCATTTTTTCATGGCTACTGGAGAGGGAAAAACATTTCAATTCAACCACCAGCCGAACTGCGGCAGGAACCCCATTGTAATACTCCTTTGTAGTGAAACTGACTGACTGTATGGTGTAAAATAAGTCAAGATATTTCCTTATGTAAAATCGGAAGTACTGGGTCATTTCATTACCTATAGAGGTACTATGACATGTGTTAATTTAAGGCGTATATTTATTAACCTATTGTTTGACGGGCATTCTAGAAGTTGGTTACTCAAAAATGAAACATACAACTTTATGGATGACAACTTCTTATTTATTGCATAAAGCGACGTTTCAATGTAGATTCTTACGCAACACTTTGGAACAAGCTTCAACCAAGTCTAGGAGAGGCTGCAACAATCAACACCTTCAGAAAAGGGTTCAAAGCATATCTCTTTGACATTGCCTATGTTCAATGTTGTGTTTATCTTGCGAAGTGCCTTAGAGTGATCTAGAAGTACATGTAGTTCAAATAGGGCGCTATCTTTTTATATTATTTTTTTTACAGATTAAAGATAAAATACAGCAGAGAGGGTTCGGGTGATCCTGGCACAGTCAGGCTGGTAAGGCTCATCATCAGCTCAGGGCCCCTGCCCCCTCTACATGCAGCCCAGACAGCGAATGGGACTTCTCCCAGGAATCGCTGCCTTGTCGAACCCACCAAGAACTTTCTGGAGAATATGAAGACTCCCCAACATTGCAGCCTTCTGCATTACCCAGAGCGTCAGAAGGGTTGTGCTCCTGGTGGAGATCCCGGGCACTCTCCTGATATGTGCCAAGAGATCAGGAGGTACCAAACCAAGGGCACCGCGAACAACGGTGAGCCTGACGACAGTGTACTTGGGATGCAAGCGAGACATTTCAAAGGCGAGGTCCGCATATTTATTATGCTTTTCCTGAATCTTGCCAATCACATTGCTGTCAAAAGGGACAGAAAATTCAATGACATAAATAAATCTATTGGCTTTATCAAAAAGGACAAGATCAGGTTTGTTGGCTGGAATTCTTCTGAGGCTGTATATGGGCCGGTTTGCATAGGTTTAGCCAAATCAGACATATCAAGTGTATTTTTAATATAATTAGGCTATGGAAGAGTATAGTGAACATGAGGTTGGTTTAACGCCACACTCAGCAATATTCCAGCTATATGGCGGTGATCTGTAAATAATTGAGTCTGGACCAGACAATCCAGTGATAAACAGCATGAGCATCGATCTACACCATTGGAATACAATGACATGTGCCAACAAAGTCAGCGAGCCTGAAAACCTGATCCCGTTTGTCGCCTTTTACGACAAGCATGGGTTGCTGAAGACCAATTCTAACCCGGATCTTCATGAGGACGGTGAAGATGAGAAGATATGACAGGTGCATGGTAGCCTGAATATTCTGGCACCTGACAAGGAGCCGTCTCGTCTATACAGGTTGTAGGTAAAGGCATGAAATAGTCAAGTCCTCCACAAAGAAAAGGGGAAATCCTGTGTTAAGGACTCATCAGATGCACAATATTCTTTATCATAATCTTGATCGGAGTCTGCAGGGTAATGGGAAACCCATGATAGGAATCCTGTTGATGGGGCATGTGAACACTCAACATAACCCCTAGGGCTTCTGTGAGGGTCATCATCCAAAAGTGTCCATGTTCTATATACGAAGGATGACATGAAAATTCATACGACACTGGACCCAAAAGGTTTGGATGCTCAGTTGTGAATGCTCAGTCTATGAGGCATAAAAATGGCATCCAATTGGAAACTGTGATTGTGTCTGAATGCAGACGGTCTGTTTCTGTGAGGCTGATTTCTGACTTGTCTGACAGAGAAATGTCCTGCATGTGGCCTCTTAGCTGAGTGAGTCTTCTCACCTTTTCTGCTGTATTTCTACCTCCTGTGATAGTAGCTAGGTGAGATCCCAGTAATGATTCAACAGCTGAATTCTGTGGAACAAATAATTACACACTGATAGGGACGTTGGTATCATTGGTTGGTGGACGTAGATCAGGGGGTTGTAGATAGAGTAGAGAGGTCAGACATAGCTAGATACATGTCTGGGAGTGACTTAATGGCTTCTACTATCTTCTGAGCCACTTCTTTACATCTGGGTTCCAGTCCCACATGGATACAATCTGTGAAGCCCATTTCCAGTGTCCCCCGCCGTGAAATTGCTGGAATATTGCTAAAAGCAAGTAAAACTCAACTCACTTACTTAATAACTTGTCCTTTAAATTTAATGTGCAATAATATAATGACAATATAATACAGCCATTAACACATATCACAAAATGAAAGCATCTCAAAATCAAGCCATTACCTCTTTGAAATACAGACGAGTTTCTTTTAGCATGTCTCTTCTACGAAAAGCATGAACAGAATCTGTGAAAGCTACAGCAAACACCTTTTCCTTGAAGTACCCAGGATAATCATTAATCTGCAACAGTGGAAACAGGGTAATCTGTTAATGATCTATCTGGAAATCAGGGGCAGACAGCATACCTCACTAATATTTTATCTGGGAAACTTCTGAGGAAGATTATACTACACATGAACAGAATCAGATGACGGGACATCAATAGACTTATTCAGCAAAAGGAATACAGAGATTATTCAATGTAAGTGAAAATGTAAGTAACCAAGCATGTCCAATGTTTGTGTTGAGGAAAATGTACATGAGAGTTTTACAGGAACCTAAAAACATGCACACCTATCTTGTTTGTCCTGATCAATGATTTTTGTGTGGTCTGATCTCAGTAAGAACTGCTATACATCTAGAGAGTGTGTCACATAGGTTGCAACCGCTGCTAAAGCTGCTGGCCTCACAACATTATCACTGTTTGACAGCTTCAACCAAAAACACTTTGCATGATCGCATAACACAATAGCTTGGTAGTGGATATGGGGCATAAAACATTCCATCCCAAACCATTAAGTCATTCGTGACAAGTAGGGCTGGATATTGCCCTGATTCTCATATTGCGATATATTGCAATAATTCAAGAGATATTGCAATACATATTGTAATATATTGACTGGAAGGTTTCTGTCCAAGTGCGTACATCATACATTCATAATAGCTCTCTGTGTGCGACAACGTCTTCTTAGTTGCTGTTACACCATACTTTCAGGCTCCCTGTCCCCATTGTGTATGGGTGTATGCCAGTGGTGTACAGATAAATGATATAGAACCTTAATGTGGAATGTTTCATGGAAGTAACTGTATTGCAACAAAGTTTTGCGAACATAATGAAAAAGGTAATAGTATAACATGATTTTCATGGTCAGTGTTGTTTGCTTCAACAGAATGCACTTCAATGCAGCATGTAAATATTGTTACTATTTGTCAGTGATTCATTCAGATTCAACTCCAATATAAACATTTGTTAACATGAACTGTTGTAAAATGAAAAAAAAACATGATTTAGGTGAACTACTTGAGCTTAAAATCTCATGTGGCCTCCAATAACTAAGATCCTTGACTAGAATGTCATTATACAATCCTTTGGCCTTTATCATAAATTGATAACATATGTCCCATTATGAAACAAAAAAACAAAAACAAAATAATGTGCATTGCGATATGGCCACCAAGAGCCAGTAGCTCTACTTAGAAGTCGGAATAAAAGATTGGTCAAATGTTTGAAGGGCATGTAGAAGTGGAATGCATAAGAAAAGCAAGATTTATAGATGTCAACTACTTTATTGTGAATATTCATGACCTGATGAAGGAGCAAGCAAACACTCCGAAACGTTGCATTATTCACAACAAGAAGTTGACATCTATAACTCAATAAAGACACTTCCACTTGTAAAACTTTACATGAAACAGAAAAGAAACAAAAGTATATTTGACACCTTCAGAGCACATTTTGTTGCTATGGAAATCAAGGGCAGATAATTCAAAGGGACGTAACTCTGGATGACCCAATATATTGCAGAATCTGAACCATATCGCGGTAATCGTATCACGAGATACTGTACCGGTAATATTGCACAGCCCGCCCTAGTGACAAACAAGTCCTTGTCATATTCCAAGGATGACTTGTTCCAATATCACAGTCATTTAGGAGGTTCCAGGGTTGTGACAGTGTCAGTTATAGCATCCTCACCAATGTTATGTCATCATAGACATAAAACAAGACTAAGAGATCAGGTGGTCAGGCTTGCTGACTTGGTTGACAAATAGCATCACAAATGTATACGGGTACATTAATGATCATCATACCAGTCACTGACATGTCTGTACAGACATGATTCCCATAAATCTTTGTCACATAGCTGGAATATTGCCAGTGTAACATTAAAAATTACAGATTGTTTTTCTAAATATTGTTCAATTGGTATGTCCAGTCATGTTTTACTTTCCACAAAACCATTTACAAATCTATGCCATACATATTATTTAAAATATTTTAGTTTTTACTAGGAATTAGGTAAGGTTAGACACTAAAACCAATGTAATCACAAATCTACAGTATGTCAAGGTTCTTACATTGCATAAGATATTGTCAGTGTGATAAAAAAAAGTACAGGAGAACAATACTTAAGGGACCTGTACCTACCAGCTCCATTGTGACAATTCCTCCATAGCTGTGAGCAACAAATGCTACACATGATGCTTGTGCCTTCATTACAAAGTGCTGAAACACATAGTGCCCATGACTCTCTGGTGAATTGTTGTCCTGCAGTAACAGAAAGACCAGAAACTGGAAAAATGGGTACATTACATGTGAATTGAAGGGAGTCTCTCTATTTACAAACAATACCCCAAAAATATATATCTATTGTACATGTGGGAGATAAAAGGTTTATCATAAACAGGGACATTTCTTTCTATAATTAACATCATGTCTATTTACTATGTTTATTAAACAATTCTAGACCATAATGCGAGGGCTAATTGGCCATCTATGCACTTTTCAGTCTGATGATCACAAATCTGTCACAGGTTTGCAATAATGTTATTTACTGAACAGTCTTGTTGGCCTCAACATCATGATGAAAAGAAACACAAAACATAAAGGCAGGAATTTATGGATGTCAACTTCTTTATTTCGAAATGCACGATGTTTCAGAGCATATTCTTACTCCTTTAACTGGTGAATGAAAAACTAGGAAACTGATAACTACATAAGTAGATGTGAATCACCAAGAGTGATAAGATAACAAGGGAACCCAGTTGGGAATTCGTGCTAAATTGGTGAGATGGGATTGACAAATGGAAGCCAGGGATCATATCGGATCATATCAGAATATACTTCACTGTTCATACATCCAATCACTTCTGTACTAGGTTTTATTTTCTGTAAAAGAGCCTCATTATATACCATACAACTAAACTTACTGTTAACAACTCCCTCACTCTATACTTCTAGCACCTAACAGGAGTAATAATGTTGTGGTGTTGGTGTGCGCTATGAGCATGCCCCTTTGTGGTGTGGAGTATTGCGCGGTATAAGTACCCTCATTATGTTTTACAGATTAACATGAAAAATGCAGCAGAGAGGGTTCAGGTGATCCTGGCACAGTCAGGTTGGTAAGGCTCATCATCAGCTCAGGGCCCTTGCCCCCTCTACATGCAGCCCAGACAGCGAATGGGACTTCTCCCAGGAAACCTACCTTGAACTTTCTGGAGAATATAAGACTCCCTAACACTGCAACCTTATGCATTACCCATAGCGTCAGAAGGGCTGTGCTCCCGGTTGAGAACCTGGGAGCGCCATAAGATCAGGAGGTACCAAACCAAGGGCACCGAGAACAATGGGGAGCCTGACGACAGCGAGACATTTCAAAGGCAAGGTCCGCATATTTAGCATGCTTTGCCAATCACACTACTGTCAAAAGGGACAGAAATTTCAATGATATATATAAATTCATTGGCTTTATAGAAAAGGACAAGATCAGGTTTGTTGGCAGGAATTCTTCTCAGGCCGTATATGGGCCTATTCCAAATAAGTTTGAAAAATCATTTTCCATGACGCCCTGGACATGTTCAGGGTCGTACCATGGATGGACCTCAGAGTCAAAGCCACAGGCATGGCGAAGACGATAGTAGAAGCAACAAGCCATGCCATCATGTCTTTTAAGATATGCTGTTTGTGCCAAGGAAGAGCATCCACTGACAAGGTGTTGGACAGTCTCTGTAAATTCATTGCAAAGACAACATTTCATGCAAATATTTTCTTTAAGAATCACATATTGGCGATTGCGAGTGGGAAGCCCTCAGTTTCACATTTAAGACCAGCCGACTTCATCCAGGGAAAGGAGTTGGTTGGATTGCTATTCTGTTCCACACACTGCATGTACACATGATGCAATGGTTTCTTAGAAAGCTTCTCCACAAATGACCGACTCTGGGCAGACTTGGTGAAGGACTTCACCAGGTTGACTCCCATTGGTGTTCCGTCCAGCAGGACATCGCCATCAACAAAATCAACCTCAAATTTCAGATTGTGTCCAACAACCTTGGCATGCTTAAAATAGCTGTGGAATTCCTTGCTTTTATCATGAGTCTTGACATGCATCACCAGAGGATTATCCGTCAAATAAATATGTGCAAAAGTACACAATAAAATTCTATCATGAAGAGCCTCTACAGTAATCAAACCCCGACCTCCAGAACTGATTGGCATATATAAACGATTCAGAGAGGAACGAGGGTGATAGGCTCTGTTATCAGACATGATCCTTCTGGTCAGGCGGTCAAGACTCTGGATGTCTTGCTTTATCCAATCAACTACTCCAAAGGAATAGGAAAGACCTTACACAGCAAAAGTATTGGTGGCTTTGACCTTGTTTCGGGAAATTAGCTCTGAGCTCCAGATTTTCTTTAATCGAGCTTTATACTCGGCCCGAAGTTTTTCTTGAATCTAGGCATTCTGGAGCTTGTCTCGAACTTGCATTCCAAGATAGGTGTAGGCCTGATCTTCCACAAGATACTCAATAACTCCTCCCCTGTAACCTGACCGATCCTTCATGAATTACCTTGCCACGTTTCAAATGAAGAGTATTACATTTGTCGAGTCCAAATGTCATGTCAATATCATTAGAAAAGGACTCGGCAAGGAGAACCTGTTCTTTCAAATTGGTATCTCCTTTGGCAAGGAGCTCAATGTCATCCATGTAAAGGAGATGAGTAAGAGGTGTTGGGGATCTGTGCTGAGGAGATCCTGGATGGTGACCCTCCTCTTTATTGAGTATAAAACTCAAAGGATTTAAAGACAAATAAAAAAGCAAAGAACTAAAGGAGTCGCCCTGGAATATTCCCCTTCTGATTGGATTAGATTCCGAAGTCTGCACCTGGCCTTGCAAGTACATCTCAAGTCGGCATCATTCCTCTAGCCCCCTGTTACATGCCACTAATTAGTACCTCTAGCCCCTCCCCTGGCTGTTCTGTTAGCTGTACTCACTCCCCTGTAACTGGATTAACTGCTACTAAGCTCGTTAGGTTATGGTTTTGGTTGTGGATAGGTGACTAACGGTCCTTATTTATCCACGAGGAAACATCCAACCAAGTACAGCTTTTGCAACTTAAGTGTGGACAGTCTGCTCCCAAACGTAGGAAGCAATATGTAGATAGAGATGACAAGATTAAACGCCTTGGACTAGAGTACATGTTATGTGAAAGAAATCTTGACTCATACCTGTGTGCCATTGGATAGATGATGGACAATATGTATGTTGCATAAAAACAACTGATCTTGTAACGTTCTGTGTATCTTGAGATTAGAATAGACACAGAGACATCGTGGGTACAGGTCGGACATGTTGTTTTACTCATTTAACCGCTCTTTACAATACAAGGGAGATAACTCTCGAAGATGTGCATATCAGTACATCTCCCCTCTTTAAGATGTACAAATGAAGCATCTTTAAGTATACTGAAGATGATTGCAGTTTACAGAGATAAAGTCACTGGAGAATCAATGTGAAATACGTTTTGTTATTAGTCCTAAAATTATTATTTCTGAAACCAAAGTGTTTTAGATTTATAATTATGTCTTTTGACACAACCTGCACATTTTCTGATCAGTTCCGACAATGTGACTTGTCAAGTACAATACTGTTGATTTAGCCAGTCACATAGTCCTTAAGATACTTGGGTGGCTTGATCTGTCTTCCACTTCGTGTCTTGGTAGGACAGCTCTGTGTGCTACTGGTTGTTGACTGTTCTGGGCCGGGTTTGATCTCAGGTTCTGTTGTGTTCTGTTTCTCTGCTGGGACTGTATTGCCGACTGGATCCGAGGTGTTAGGTTGACACCTGACCTGTTTCGGACCTCGAAGATTTCTCCTATACTGCATCCCTTCCTCAGTTTTGACACAGTAAGATCTTATTCCCACTTTGTCTTTCACCTTAGCACTTTTCCATTCCTTTTCTCCTCCACACAGCTTCATCACGACTGTCTCACCTGGTTTTAGCTCTGGGAGGTTCTTGGCATTTCTGTCATAATATTTCTTCTGTTTTGCCTTTCTAGTCCAAAGCTTCTTTGGGACTGAATTAACTGCCTTAGGTTACAGTTGTTTGGCTGACAAACTCAGCATAGTGCGTGTTCTTCCGCTGTAGAGTCGCTGAACTGGGGAGCTTTCCATGTGTTCTGTAGGTGTGTTCCGCCAATTGAGGAGTGCCAAATAGGGATCCGTGCCAGCTTTCTTTCACTTTATCATTATTCTCTTGGCCACTTTGGCTGAGTTCTCAACTTTCCTGTTGGACTGTGGATAGTGAGGAGAGCTTGTACAATGTTCAAATTCAAAAGTTCTGGCAAACATTGCAAAAGCTTTGGAGCCAAATGGTGGTCCGTTGTCTGACATGACCTGAACCGGAATACCATGTCTGGCAAACTGCTGCTTCAGCTTCCTGATGACCGTTTTTTTTATGTCTTATCATGTAATCTATCTACTTCGAAGAAGTCTGAGTAATAGTTGGTTGTTCTGAGAAAGTCTTTCCCCTCAAAGTCGAACAAATCGACTCCTACTTTCTGCCAGGGACGGCTTGGCAGACTGTGACTTTTCAATGGTTCTTTCTGTTGCTCATCATTGTAACAGGCACAGATTTCACACTTGTTTATGAATTCCTTCACATCTCTATTTATATTGGGCCAAAACACAGCTTCTCTTGCTCTTCTAAGAGAATTCGGAATTCCACAGTGACTAGAGTGTAGTTTGACCATAATGTTGTGTCGTTCTGCTTTAGGCACTACCACACGTTCACCTTTAAAGACTACACCATTCTGGAATGACAGTTCGTCTCTATAGTTGAAGTATTGCTGAACCACAGTTCAGCTGGAGATCGACTGTCTACCATCATGATACTGTGAGCATCTTGATTCCGCTGGTTTGACCTTTGTGGTAGAAAGGCACGACTGAGGGTATCAGCCATGACCATCAAAAAACCCTTCTTGTAAACCACTTCAAGCGTAGCATCATTCTCTGCAAGCTCTTTGGAGCATTGTGGAGACTCTTCTTCAAGATAGTCTCTAGAGGCTTGTGATCAGATTCTATCTTCACCTGTTGCCCATACACATATCTGTCAAACTTCTCCATGCCAAACACAATGGCGAGTAGCTCCTTCTCTATCTGAGCATAATTTGTTTGAGTCTCAGTGAGTGCTCGCAATGCATACATGATTGGATGATCGTTCTGCATAAGACAAGCCCCTAAACGTTTTTCCGATGCATCACATTGCAACACAGTTTCAGCCTCTGGATTGAAATACTTCAGAACTGGTTTAGCAGACAAGATCTTCTTCACTTCATCAAAGGCTTTGGTGTGAATATCATCATTCCAGCAAAATACAACACCTGATTTGAGCAAATCTCTGAAAGGTGCAGTTGCTTCCGACAGCTGTGGAGCAAACCTCTGCACAAAATTGGTAAGTCCCAACAGACGTTGTATCCCTTGTTTATCAGCTGGAGGTGGCATTTTTCAAGATTGCTTAAACTTTGGAAGGATCAACTTTTAGACCTTCAGATGATATCACATGACCTAAATAGGTAATTTCAGTTCGTCTCAATTTCAGTTTCTGGAAATCTAGTTTGATGCCTTTCATCCGACATCTTTGGAGGAGAGTTTTGAGATTTGCTGCCTTCCAACGCACCATCGAGTCGTCTCTGGAATTCCTCTGGGGCAGGTGAGATACCAAAGGGCATTCTTTTCCACCGAAATTTTCTCCATGGGGTATCAAATGTGGTTAGATAACTGCTGTTTTCAGCAAAGCACACATGCCAAAATCCGTTTTTGACATCAACCACTGTAAACAGTTTTGCATTTGACAGTTCAGGCAAGACATCATCAATTGTTGAAATTGAGTAATCATTTCTCTTTAATGCTTTGTTGAGAGGTTGTGGATCTAAACAGACGCGTAGACGTCAATTACTTTTCATGACCACTACCATTGACGAAATCCACTCAGTTGGTACATCAACTTTCTGTATCACTCCGAGCTTTTCCAATCTGTTCAGTTCAGCCTTGAGCTTAGGCTTAATAGCTATTGGAGTTTTCCTCAAAGGAGTCTTCACTGCAGAGACTTTAGGATCTATCTCAAGTTTGAGGGTCCCTTCTAACTTTCCTTCCCCATTGAAGACATCATAAAACTCTTCGATTAGAGTGTCTTTGGAAATCGACATTGTTGTCGAAGTTGACTGTAATCAGGTTCATCTCTTGGACCGCCTGTGTGCCAAGAACAGGTCTTACTTCATCCTGAACTATGATGAATTCAAGTATGTGGTTTTCACAATTCTTTGGATTCACTACAGAAATGTGGGTATTTCCAATAGTATTCATTTCTGTATTGTTGTAGAGTATCAGTGGAGTGTTGTAAGGATCAAACTTCTATTGTCCTGAACAAAGAGACTGGCATGGCATTCACGGTTGCACCACAATCAAGTTGAAACTTCACCTTCTGTTTGTTGACTTTCATGTGAGCAAACAGTTTTGTAGGAGGGTTATCATTCACAGACAGGATAGATTCTTCAAGACTCAAGGCATAGTCTCCTAACTCACTCGCTGTCGCCTGTTTCCTTTCTGTCTGCTTTTCACTTTCTTATGTTTACACTTGATATCAAAATGGTTCATGCCATGATAATATGTACATTTCTTTCCAAATGCTGGACACTGGTCTCTATCTTTTGCATGAGATCTGCCACAGAATCTGCACTCTTCAATGTCGGACACATATTTTGGTTTAGTTTATTCCCTCTCTGATCTTCCACATTTGCTTTGGCCACTTTTCTTTCCATTTCTGTTTCCACTCACAAAGGACACCTGATATGTTCTCATACATTTGAGTTGATGATCTGTTGTTTCACATGCTCTGCACACAGTGATACACTTATCTAGTGTCAAGTCTGCAGTTTGTAACAGTTTCTTTCTTGTGCTATTGTCAAGAATTCCTACAACAATTCTGTCCTTGATCAATGAATCTGTTAGTGTGCCGTAATTGCAGGATTTGGCAAGAGATCGTAGAGCCGCTACATAAGTGTCAATAGATTCACCGCTTTCCTTTTCACGTTTATTGAAATTGTAATGCTCATATGTTTCACTTGTCGAACCAACACAAAATATCTCAAATGATTCCAAAAAATTGTTTATGTTAGACTTATAATCTTCATTTGCAAATTTAAACCCTTCAAAGACTTCCAGAGCATCAGATCCAACAGCTGTAAGAAGTGTTGCCGTTCTAAATCTCATTTTTTCTGAAACTAGTCTCTGAGCAATTTCATAATTGTCCCATCCACGTTTGAATCCAGATTGAGGCTAAATTCCCTTTCAATCTTTTGGCAGATTGAGGCTAAATTTCACTTTTTTCTTCACCTTCATCCAATTTTACAATCTCCGTGGTGAGAGGAAGATTTTCAGATCAGGCATAACTATACCACCTTTATAGAAATTTTCATAATTCACCTTCAGAGTACACTTCATAGATACTTTTCATAGCAAGAGTTCTTTGAAAAGTCAGTGTACAAGCATTGACTTAAATTCACATCCCTGCTCGAAAACTGGGGTACTTTTCAAACCACGTGCGCAACCGATGAGGCGTAAATTCGAATTTTACCTTGGACCTGGTAATTTGTCTCAGCATTCAGAGAAGGTGTCAAGATCTGAATTAATACTTTTGGAAATGTAAATAAATATAGAATCTTCATATTTGTCTTGTCAATTCTTAGCAACAGTGATCATCTACTGATCAATCATAATCACTGAGCTGTGATTCTCTATTATCTATACCATGTACCGGTAGTCACCTACTCACAGCCAACACCTGACCTAACGAGTTAATTAATAGTAGCAGTTAATAGAGTTACAGGGGAGTGAGTACAGCCAACAGAACAGCCAGGCGAGGGGCTAGAGGTACTAATTAGTGGCATGTAAAAGCAGGGGGCTAGGGGGACAGGGGCTAGAGGGGTGGAGTCGTTGAGTCGACCAGCAACTCATTAAAGACTTGAGTAAATCAAGTAGTCGTTCAGGGAGGTCAATACAAAGCGGAGATTTTGGAATCCATTCCTGAGGGACAGAGTCATATGCTTTTTTGTAGTCAATCCAGCACATAGAGAGGTTGTGGTGATATGTATTAGCCTCTTCCAAAATCATTTTCTGTACAAGAAGTTGATCCTTGCACCCCCAGCATCCCTTTCTTGTCTCCTTCTGCTCTCTATAAATTATGTCATTAGAAGAGAAGTAAGATGACACGAGGTTTGTCAAACACCCTGTGAAGATTTTATATTGAGTATTCAAACATGTGATAGGGCGGAAGTTTTGGGGATCAGTCAAGTTACCGTGGGAGCCAAGGAAGTTTTGGGGATCAGTCAAGTTACCGTGGGAGCCAAGCCAATTGACATTTGACAGAGGGGTAAACAAAGTATGTGATCTACTTTAAAAGTTGTCAAACTTCCAATTATGTGGAAGCCGCACTGGCTGAGTGAGTTAGATAGCCAAATTCTGTGCTGGTGATTCGGTGCATCACTTTGAGAGTGATGGTTGGAACCCCAGATGATATTCAACCTCAAAAAGTGCTAGAATCAACTTTACTAAGAAAGTGTTACCCCAAACATAACATATGTCATATCTGGCCCCTTTCTAAAAGGTAATATGTATTAATAAAGGCAAAATAAAAAAGACGAATGTGACCCAAAGACACACAGGCAGATGTCAGTGATTTCACAAAATTACTACAATCCAGCAAGGCAGATTCTGCTCTTCAGTAATACGAAAGGTCACAGATATTACTAATTGATTGTTGACATACGTTTTAATCCTTCCATTGATTTATGACAAGGTTTGATTTTTCTCATTTCTTTTGGTATTAAAACAGGTGAGATTGGTCCTTTTAGTTATCAAGTGGATAGCTATGTCATTCACTTTGGCTCTTAACAATATTTCTGAGGTTAAGTCTCTGGTGTGTTCTTGGTACAGTCCAACAAAATAGAAAGGCTATGTTTAAACGTAAAGCAAATTATGTATGTGGAACAAATCCTGTCTCGCACCCCATTTTGTCAAGTTTCTTCCTCAAACTACAACCAAATGTAAGTTTCAGTTGTAGTTTACAATGATCTTAGCCTTCAGTTGGTTTGTGCAAGTGGATGATGACTGCTGCCCGAAGCTATAGTGCTAAGATTGTGGGCCCTGATGACATTAATAGCCTACAGGCTGGGATATGGATGCAGGAGAACAGCAGCTTCCAGTAACCAGCAGCTGTCCATGATGTCCACGAATGGATAAAAGACTGAAGTCCAGTAGTCAGTAATCACAATGCATAGACAATTTAGTTCTTTTCATATGAATTGTTTAGGTTAGTCTACGCATTTGGAACTTGTGAAGCACCTCTTAATATGAATCTTAGGTTTCCAACTGTTCACAAGATATTTGTAACGATTTAACCCCCATTTCCAAAGGTCCATAAAACAACAGGAGTTAAAGAGTCTGCTGTTTGAAATTAGTATGTTTGTTGAAACCAAGGTTGACTGAGGATCAGTGATCAATGACCAATATATTTGGGACCTACCTTTATCTCAATCTCTTCATCTCTTTCACCAACAGTATTGAGATTTGGATTAAGAACAATGACACCATAGCCTTCACCCATTGCTTGCCGAATATATGGTAGCTGTGAGCCATGTTCAATACTATTATTGATGATTAACCTGGAATAAAAGCAAATAGTTGCAGCATTAGTATATTAATTCCTGTGAGTTCTTGGTTCATGTTAAAACCTGTTTCAGGTAGTCACCGGCTTCCGCTGCCAGGATCTTGGGAGGAAATCTTCCAAATCAATACCCACCCAAAAACAAAGAAAAGAAAAAAGAAATCACAAAGAATATATAACATTTTCACATTTTCATATTTCATGACAAGTTTACACGAAAGTAAACCTTTTTGTCTTGCCCTTTTTCCAAATAGAAAGTATTTAATCAAGTAGTTTCATTGCCATTTTTCCAGAAAGTACAGCTATCACAAGTAACTAATGTATTTATTTTTAAACTTATCTTATCTCACGGCTTGCACCTCTCTCTCTGCTTCCACACTGACTGGAACGACTGTAAACTTTTCCCTTGGCCCCTCTTGTACCATTGCCTGTGTATTCCTTGCTGCTCTGGCTAATGGACTACTCACCACAATCTATACGAGGCATGCAGCACTCTCCCCCTCAACCTACTTGACCACTGCTCACACATCATACTCTTTCTCATCGCGTCCCTGGGTGGACGCAATTTGTGAACACTCACTTCCCTTTGTTGAATTCTCCGTTATGGGGAAACCTGAAAATAAACACAAGCGCAAGTTTTGCGCGCTTTGTAAAAGACTTTTTCCAATTTTGACCCACACAGTTCTAGTGTCAACTGTGTTGGTTTGTGTGAAGCTGACGATTGTTGTAACAAATGTTCCCGTCAGTCTGAAGAGGAATTTAAAGCATACCATCGGGTATGTTTCCGGCGTCTAGCAGACCGTGCCAGATATACCTCTTCAGAATTGAGTACTTCTTCTGCTAAGAAACCTTGCCTACAGTGTCCTACTTTGGTTTGGAAGCAGTCCAAATCCCCTCACTCGGAGGGGGAGGATTTTAAGGCCGCCTCGTCCGATTCTTACCTCTCAGAGGATTTGAGGAAATTGTTGGGTACTCACTCGTAGCCCCCTAAGACTGGGGCCTCTAGGGTTGTAATGATGGAACACCCATCCATCCCTGTGAACACTGCATCCCCTCAAGACCTTCGGATGACCTTATCTTCCTCCAGATCTCCTTCATCCCAGCCGACAGGAGATAAGGAACCTGGACAGGTACACGCGGTAGAGTGCCCGTCCCCATCTACAAGTTGGACGCAGCTGACCTCTGTCCCTGCTAGCACCCCGACAGTCTCGATCTCCGAATCAATCCTCTCATAGCCTCTCACGACCTCGTTCGTCTAGTCAAAACTTCTGGCCGTTCTCTAGTTTGTCAGATCAAGCTGAACTGCCTCATAGTAGCTGAATGCATTCATCTTGCCAAACTAAACAAACCATCGAACTGATTTATCAGATCGTCCTGTTTCCTGTCATTTTCGCCAAACTCATCTGAGTATCATTGCTGAACTGGTTTGCCGTGACATCACCGAACTGATTATTCAGCACAGAATGGCTCATCTCGTTCGTCCGAACCACATTGCTGAACTGGTTCCTTAGGCCGAACCAGTTCACCACAACATCCCCGTACTTGTTCGGCAGACGGATCTGAACCTCATCATCGAACTAGTTCATTAGACCGAACCAGTTCACGACAGCATCACCGAACTAGTTCATCAGGGTGAAGCGATTCACCGCACCAGCAATCATTTCACACTTGATGTCTGTAGTGCAGTCATCTAGATTACGCCTGGCACTTGAGGTTCTGACAATCCCAGATCTCCAAGACTCCTTCCTGACCAGGGCTCATCTCATTCCAGATTTAATCTACCATCCAATCTTCATGTTTGATTAATGATTCAGTTCAACGAATCCATCCTTCAGCACAAATATTAGCTCTACAACCGCCCGTTTATGCATTACTGGATAAGCTTGCTATCCAGGAATATTTACGATGCTTCACTGAGTCCTGTTACTGCACACTACTCGTAACAGCGTTATGGTGTATCACTGGGTGCAAGCATGGCTTGGTTCGTCATTTTCTTCACCTTCACCCTCCGTTTACATCATCAGCATGCTCCTGGACAGATGGGTCAAGTTTCTGCGCATGGTACCAGCAGTGATGTCTTGTCAAGTAGCTAGCATCCCTTAGCCCGGATTTTATGGGTTGTGACCCAGCCGGTTAACCAAAGACTTTTGTCATTGTTGCATCATGGGTATGCAAATGGCGGACTACTGTTTGTTTACCGGACAGACTTGTCTTGGTCCCACGAGGCAGATATCAATTCCAAACTTTAATTGCCATTGATGATGAACGGAGCCCTTCCCCGTAAGAGTAATTGTGTCTGGATTCATCAGCCAGCTGAGAGAGACTGCTTACCAAGGATGTTAGACAAAAACACCCGAGAACGCTTTGGCTAGACTTATTCGGTTTTCTTCTTGAGCCCAAACACTTAGTTTGGAGGTCACTACAGCTATGTCTGCACGGTCCCAATGCAGTGATGTACTACCTATATCTCTCAATCTGGCGAACCATCACATTGTTTGGCGAACCAAACGTTCCTGAGATCGCCAATCATACACACTTCATCACTCCGATTACAATGTGAACGTTCCTGTTGATTGTCTGAAAATCTCCTTGCTACGAACCTACTTCATTCAGCACTCTATTAGTACTGTCATGGTAGCTCGACTATTTGAACATTCCTATTCAGGAGATATCCATTGGTCAGTGACAAGAGTTGCTCAAGCCTTCACTTACAGAGGTCAATTTCAGGCCAACAACCCCAAGGCTTTAATCCACCTCCTCACTTCTGGATGGTGCCGATCAACCTACTATGCACCATTATGAAGAAGGGAGACTTCCTCATCAGCTTTGATCTTCAGGACGCCTACCTTCACGTCCCAATACATCCAGAGCACCTGAAGTACCCTCGCTTTGTGTTCAATCAGAACCATTACGAGTGACAGGTCCTGCTGTTTTGAATTTCCATGGCCTTGTGGCTTTTTACCCGTATTACCAAGTTGATCACAAGTTTCTGTGAGTTACATAGATGACTGCATCCAGTCTCACCAGGATTCAGACGTTCTACTTCAACATCAGCCAATGGCAGGAGCTATTAGGTCTTCTCACGTGAGCGCAAGCCCTGACTTACAGAGGCCAGCTTCAACTTTGTCCATTACAATGGTTTCTGCATCCATTTCTGCAAGTCGACAATCCCAAGGAACTGATTTGGCTCCTAGAACCACTTCATCCAGTTCTTCAGTGGTGGCTTGATGAACGGAACGTTTCCTGACATCTATCATGAAGGGTTATTTCTGGCACTCTGACAGTGTTTTCTCATCTCATTACCTGCGAGACCTATCAGTGACAGATGTCCAAGGATTACATCAGTTTGGACCACTCGTCTTGGCTCAGCAGTTCACTTCAGACCATCAGCGCAGATGAAGGAAAGTTCCATGTTCGTTACCTATTCCTGTATTTATTGAATAAAAGTCTGAACTTTATGTTTATCTTTTGTTCTCATTGCTTATGGGTTTTTAGAACTACTTCACTTAGTTTGATACTAAGGCATCTAGATACCGCCGCCAAGTTTGACTTAATGGTTTTGATAGTTGAAGTTGTGTGTCTCGATGCAGAGGTGTTCGACTCCCTCGCTTATTGACCTCTACTCTGTAGAGCAGTTACTTCAGTGGAGCGAGTCTCTCCCAAATTCCAGTGGATTTCGTTGCGTTCTGACTCCTAAGTTGCCAGAGTCATTCTTTGACTAAGCTTATGTAAAGGAGCGAGGGTCAATTTGATGTTGCTTTGGAACTGAACGTTAAAACTTGTGAGTTTCCAATTCAACTTGTCTTTTGCCCTCTACGTGATGGTGTCTGAGGGGTCTTGAAGCAGGGGCTGTTCCGATTATCAGTTGAAAAACTGTAATTACGGAGGTACGTTGGAAATCATGGCAACGCGAGGCTTACTTGCTGAGCTAAGTTCTTTCGCTTAAAGAAGGTGGTGGCCAAACACCACATCGCTCGGGAGCACCCATCACCCTGGGAGTCGTTGTGCCTAGTTAGCCAAGGGGTTCAGGGAACCCATCACAAGCATAAGAGTTGCGTACATGCGTAACAGGCCTCCCTTGTTCATCGCTATCTACGGTTGTTAGGATAATAAAGCTGAGCTCCTTTCTTGTGAGACTTAGGGTATTCTGCGACCCACGGTGCATGCTGCTTGCCTCGTATGGATTGTGGTAAGCACAGAACACACAGGGGATGGGACAAGAGAGGCCAAGGGAAAAAGTTTACAGTCGTTCAACTCAGTGTCGAAGCAAGAGAGAAAGGTGCAAGCCGTGAGTAAGATAAGTATATAAATATACAATTTATAGTTACAATTTTCTATTTGCATTATATTGTTTCATCTTTTGCACACTAATCAAGAGTTCTATAGCCATAATACACACACCATGGCTTATGTCCCTTGTAATATAACACCAACTAAAAATAAATGACATCCTTAGAACTTTTTAGACCCATGATGGTGTACAGGTGTGTGGTTTTTGTGTCTTGATGCCCAGCCCACTGTTTTAAGCTAAGGGTGTCTGACAGTCACTTGGCTAAATCAGCATCCATTGCGTTATTTCATTCCTGACCAGCATGAGCCCCTCTTGAAGGATTTCATATTGGCATATGAACATAGAACTACTTCAACCAAGAACAATAACTATTTCTGTTTAATTCCAACAGTAAAATCATTACTGGAGGACTCAAAAAATATTTTAAGGTGTTTTAAATAACAATAAAATTTATCATGATGTGACAGTGTGCCTGTGTTACTGTAGATACAGTCATATTTCAAACTGACCAATTCATGGAGTCCTATCATGATTTAGTGTACACACTGTCATCACGTTGTCTGATGTCAATTTAAAATAGATACCGGTACACTGAAAAATATTGATGATCTCAGAAATGTCAGACTAAATACCCCACTTAAGTGAAATGTAAGCAAAAAGTTTGAGATTAAAGTTGATTAGTTATCTGTAAATATATTGTTTTGTTATATGTTATATCCTTATTAAAAACTTCAATTTAGAAAACACAATTCTGTTACCCGTGTCCTTTGTAATGTCAAAATGACTGAACATATTTTTCAATATTTTGTAAATAATCCTTTACTGCCATAACTGATTTAAGTACGCAGGATTATGTTCATCAAAATACCCCAATCTTGATTGGTTTGTTGTATTTTGGCACATAACATTCATTGATAGGGGCACAGGGATTTTTGGGGGTCATGGAAAAGGAAGAATGGTGACAACTAGTTTATGATTTGAAATAAATATTTGCTCAGATATTTAAAATATATTAGCGATCACATGTATTTTTTATTTGTATTTTTTTATCATTTCACCAATGGTGATTCTGATATGTCTTTGTTGACCCTAGAACCACTTAGAATGTTTTGGAAAATTCACAAATACATTGCTGAAGTGAACGTTCAGCTTTACTGCAGATTGTTTATTAAATCATATCACATTATGCTGGTAATGTAACACCTATTCCATTGTGTATAATTCAAACTCAACTTCCTTGCATGAATTCCTCATACATTTAACAATAAATTAGTGTAAAGGTGAAGTCAGTTCAAATAGATCAGGTATAAAAATGAAAGTCATGCTTGGAAAACAACACTTGTTTGAAATGTAAACAGAACAAAGTCTACTTTGTACACTGTGTGTCGTTTTCTCAGATTGTGAGAGATCTGGTTGGTTGTTCATTGCTTACACTTTTATATCAGTTTTAGGAAAAGTATCGTAGCAAGAATTATAAGGGAAATAAATGTATTTCAATGATTTATTACAGTGAACACTTCGTCAAGAGTGATGCCATGACTGTCACAAACACATGCGCAACATTAATAGTTTCTGACTTTAAACCCTGGTTACAATGATAACAAAAAGAAAATAATATGTAGATTGTAATATGTTACTGATGACTTACATGTCACATTTAGGCATACATGATCCCTTGAATCAACAAAAGTTTCCTTCCTATCCCACGTGCTTGTGTCGGTGAACATGCCATTTTGTGAAAGTCACTTACCGATAGTGATGTCATATGTACATCAACATTGTTAACCATGTTTGATATTTTCATTGAGGTGAGGTTTATGAAATAAAATACACAAAATAGCATATATGACTTTATGAATAACAACTTCTAGTTCATTGCATAGAGTGTGACCTCCCATTGATCCTATTGCTGGTATGTAAAATACCAGTGAAAATGAAACCGCAGACCAGTTCTTACAGAAAAAAGGCAGAAAGCAGAGAACATGACAGATGTCCACTATTTATTATGAGTAAGGCTCAAGTAGTCCAAGGTGTGCAGACTCTATCTGCTGTTGCCATGGCTAGGAAGAAAGCAGCTATCTGGATTCTGGGCTCAATCCGAAAGGATCCATCTTGAAGTAGATGGTACTACTGATAAATACCACTGAAGAATATCCTTGGAGTGAGGACTTCTTTCATGAGGAACGAACACAGGCGCAGTTCAATATGGGACGGCTGCACGTAATGTTAAATTGAGAGCAGATCAATAGTTTTCATTTGTACCATGACAAAATCTGATATCACATCACAGCTGATAGATGGGATAGTGACTAGGGGTATCTCCTAGTCCACATGATATCCTCAACTGGACAAACCTGTCTCATCTATTGTCACAAAGAGAAGCCAGCCAAAACCAAGCAACAGTTGAGAAGTTAGATTCAGAGGACCTGGATGCTTATCCAAGTGGTAAGATGAACACTTGGACCATGGTGTAAAATATACACTGATCTAAGGTAACACAAAATATCTTGTTGGATTGGTAGGTGGAAGAATCTTCCATCAGTTGAACAGAGTTTAGAAACCATGTTCTGTTTGGCCAGATTGAGATGACCAAAATGTTTGTACAAATTTTGAACAGGTTAAAGTTCTAAGGTTATCTGACATGATTCCACATTTTCTTGGCCCATTAATAGAGAAAAGGAAACTTGGGATTAGTCACATTGTCCCTTATTATGAAGATACAAGAGCCTCACCGCAATGGGGAAGACCTGAAAGAGTTCAGTCCTAACTTGTCTAACCTCATCAATGGTTTGAATATTAAAGATGTTCATATGTTCACTTATCAGCATCTTCTTGAATTGATTTGATCCAGCCTGTGAATGAAGCTTCCCTTGTATGTGTACAATGGCAAAAAGATCTGATCCATACCAATCACTAAAGGAGCATTGTTATAAGACACTTATACAAGCTTTACAAGTTGTCCCAAGTCAGAACAAGGAGGAGTATAGTAGAATGAGCAGATACGACGTGGACATAGCATCCTGCAGCATCTGAGGAGGGGAACTGTGTAAACCATAAGGCAATGTGTCTCCAACAAAGGATAAGGAAAATCCATAGTCCAGCAGTAGGGACTCCTCAGATGCAAAATGTTCTTCGTCATAATCCAGATCAGAGTCTGTAGGATAGTAGGAACCCCTGATCGGAATCCTATTGATGGGGCGCGTCTGAACACTCAACATGTATGCCATAGTCTCAGTGCAGGTTGTCAGCAAATGATGACACAGGCAGGATGTTTACACATGGTTAAGACAGAAATCTGGTCTGTATGGCCCATGTGGGAGCCGAGAAGTATCTAAATGCCAACAAATACTCACATAAAAGTGTGCCTGAAAACAACCAAATTACTACTTTTAGTGCTATGTTTAGCAAATTATTTATCTGAAAAAATACCAATGCACCCTGTTCTGAAATTTAAGGAATCTTTATCAGAGGATGGTTGACTATCATATTTACTTGTGTTAGAAATACATTCACCCATAATTTACGTTTCTTATTATTAGGAGGTGAGGTGAAATGTTGTTTAACGTCGTGCTTAAGAATATTTCGGTTTATATTACGACGTGCATGCATGTGTATGTGTGGCTGCTTGTACTAGCCCAGACTTAAGCTGGTTTTATAGTGCTAGCCCACTGAGATACCATGCCGCAGTTAAGCATGAATACCCCACACAGACACATTATACTGACAGGAACCAACAAGTACCATATTTTAACGTCTTATGGTATGACGTGGCCAGTGATCGAACCCGTGACCTTCCACTCTCCGGGCGGATGCTCTAACCACTACACCACAGAGGCGGTTTATTATTAGGAAAATCACTGTGAGTGAGTATGGTGATATGTTATGAAATCAATAATTTGTAGCTGACATATGGATCTTTCTATTTTCCCAGAGAGAGGACTTCCTTAAACATGTATTATATTGTGGGTATTGTTTAAACAGGTGTTTTGAAACTTAAGAAATCTGAATGTTATTATGATTACTGAGCTTTAAGTTGTATACACTGTTATCATGGGTATGTATCATGGATTTTATAGTGTTTATATTTTTATGCCAGAGGTGTAAGCTAGTGCAGATTTGTTTGGTGGCACTTTCATTTGAAAATAGTAAGAAACTAAGCTATGTATTTTCTAGAAACGTAGAAACTTCCTTTATTTGCTTAGTGGTTTGCATCATTAGACATCATTGATGCAAATTATCTCCCTTTCTAAACTAGTTTTTAGGCAACTTGCGATGCGCTCACAGAGCACATGTCAGTCAGAGCAACACCGTTATCAAGCAAGTGATCAACAGCATAAGGATGAAGGAGCATATATACAAGTTAGAGCAGATGTTGTACAGTACAATGGGGATTAGGAAGCCAGACACAATAACAGCACAAGGGCTAGAAGCCAGACACGATAACAACACAAGGGCTTAGATGAACGCGTTAACAATTGAAGCCTGTAAGTACACAATGGGAAGTGAAGCCTGTGATATACATAAATAGGTGATTATGAGGATGATACGTTGTATACATAAATGGGGGATTATCGATGATGAGGATCTTTAATGAGCTGGTAGTACGCAGGAGGTATGTAGTAACCTTGGTGACGGTTGATTGATGGCTGGAGTCTTTTGATGTAGATGGCTTCTTGGAGTTTCCTGAGTTTATGGTCTTTGAGGTTGGTTTTTAAGGTTTGGGTTTTGTCCCACTGGATATTGTGGTGGAGATTGTCTTTGATGTGATCTGAAAGGGATGATTTTGAGTCTAGTTTGGATACTGAGGTCTGATGATGTTTGATTCAGATTTTGAGGGGTCTTGATGTTTCACCTACGTAGGTCTGTCCACAGTCGCAAGAGACGTGGTAAACTGTTCCCTGTGGTTGTTATTTCTGGCTGGTTGGTTGCTTGCCAGTTGCTTTGATGGTGTTGAGGATGGTATTACTTCTTTTGAAAACAACATCTATATTGGCCTGTTTTTTTAGGAGTCTCTGGACTTTGTGGCTGACAATTCCGTAGTAGGGGAGGCTGATAACAAAGGGTGCAGATTGTTGACGGGTGGGTTTCTGTTTTTATTGTTGAAGTTCTGCATGGTTTGTTGCACAAGCTGTTCAGGGTAGTTGTTGTACTGTGTGAAGACTTGCTCTAGGTGCTGGAGTTCGACAGTAAGGTGTTGCTTGGTGGAGCAGATGTTGTGGGCTCGACGTACTAGGGTGGAGATGATTCCTTTCTTGACTTGAGGTGGATGATTAGAAGTGTAGTGAAGGTACTGGTCTGTGTGGGTTGGTTTTTTGGTATACTGTAGTGCTAAGTTTATTGTTGGTATCCTTGAGAACCAGTACATCCAGGAAGGGCAATTGACAGTTGGACTCTTCTTCCATGGTGAACTGGATACTTTCAGATCACATCAAAGACAATCTCCACCACAATATCCAGTGGGACAAAACCCAAACCTTAAAAACCAACCTCAAAGACCATAAACTCAGGAAACTCCAAGAAGCCATCTACATCAAAAGACTCCAGCCATCAATCAACCATCACCAAGGTTACTACATACCTCCTGTGTACTACCAGCTCATTAAAGATCCTCATCATCGATAATCCCCATGTATATATACAACGCATCATCCTCATAATCACCTATTTATGTATATCACAGGCTTCACTTCCCATTGTGTACTTACAGGCTTCAATTGTTAACGCGTTCATCTAAGCCCTTGTGTTGTTATCGTGTCTGGCTTCTAGCCCTTGTGCTGTTATTGTGTCTGGCTTCCTAATCCCCATTGTACTGTACAACATCTGCTCTAACTTGTATATATGCTCCTTCATCCTTATGCTGTTGATCACTTGCTTGATAACGGTGTTAGAATCTACACTGAAATGTCGCTCTCACAGCAATAAAGAAGTTGTTCATCCATATATTGTTATCCTTCCTTACTGCCCCAACTTCTAAATGCCTCTCAAAGAGGTGACTGTTTAATACTTTAGAGGTTTCATTCACAGTTCTTTAAACAACTACTTTGTACACAAAATGCTGTGTTTTGACAATAGTTTCCGAATTTGAGTAACTATTGGAAGAGTTCATTTATATATTAGGGTATATGCCTTATCAGTTGTTATTTAGGCACACTGAAGTGGCTTATCATTACGTTAATGTTATAATACTTTCCTGTCATATAACTTCAGGCATAACTGGTCTGAATTATATTATTTATATAATGTTGAGAGTATTGTTCCCACATGGGAGAGTCCAATGTTAATTTGTGATTCAGTATAAATCTTGGGTTCCAGAAAAGAAGTTTACATTTGATGTAATAGTCTTGTATTCAGAGGTTATATATGTATGAAAGTATTATGGAAATATGTATTTATTTTCTGCATTTCTTTGTTGCAGAATATACCTTGAGATCCACATGGTCATTAAAAGGATATTAGAATACTCTGCATTTAGTCATTGTTCATTCAAAACACACCCTTTACACAATTGTATCTTCTGCCAAAAAAACCCCAAGACATTCTGGAGAGTACATAGAAAGTTCACTTTCAGACAGGTAAGAGTCAATATGATAATGAAGCACAAAAATGACAAAAGTGTCTATCATATCACTTTGTTTCCTAAAGTTTCACGTAGACATCTCTCATGCCTGAATTATACAGCAGCTCCTGCCATGTACTGAGGTGACTTGGGCTCTGATGGGGATTACATTAACTGAAGCACCTGTGTCTCACTGAGTCATGGCATAGAATCCTTACTTTGTCACAAATATTAGATGTGTCCCCACACAACCATTCAGCTACATGCATGCTGGAGATGTGAACATAGGTGGGTAATCAAATCCATCTAAACTTGACCTGTGCTTGGGTATGATAATATTCATCAGAGCCCATGTGGAGAAATCCTCATAATCATAGTTTTTGATCACTTTGTGAATAGTTCACTGACATGTATAGGCTTAACTCTTACTTCCGTGTCCATTGTCCTGCCCGAACCGCCCCTGAGCCATGAATTAGAACAAGGAGTTTGGATTTGGTTAATGCATCCTGGCTGACAAAGATGAAGCTGTGTGGTTCCTCTGTTGATGTATCAACCTGATAAAACATTATGAATAAAGTTATTGTTAACAAACATAGTAATGAGTTCCACTTTCGAGGAAGTATGCCTTTTGAACTTTGTGAGCTCCTTCCGCATAAAATGGAATGTTGACAACAATTATTATATTTAAGTTGAAAATAATTCATTTTGACAAAACAATATTATGGTTAAGAGGAATATCTTTTTATAGATATAAAAATCCCATGAAACAATTTCTTTTGATTTACTTATAAACCTTATCAAATTTTGTGTGATACAGTGTATCAAGATTCCTTGTCTCACCAGATAGAGCTCACTTTGTTGCATTCCAAGAATTTAAGCATAACAATTTCTGTTTCATGTACACAATAGCTACTACTTGTGCTGTTATGAGATCCCAGTTTCTTGAGAATCTAGTATGTTGGTAATATATCATGTAAAATCTGGTATTTGTACCATTGCAGCTGAGTCATGTTCATACAACTACAAAGTGTACAACTGATACTACTTTCTATTAAAAACATACCATAAATTCCATTCCATTCACAGTTTCACCTGTTCACTCTGTGTGGTTCCTTATCAATGGCACCAATCATATATAGTGCCGCCCTTAACTCTGGGTATATGTCGGGCAAATAAAGATTGGTAAATATATTTTTTTACCTCCACTGACAATTCAATAAGAATCCTCTAAAAGCTGGCAAAGTTATTAATGCTCAGATCTCATGACCTCAGAAACAAGCACAGATTGAAAGATAATCCTCCACGATGACTTGTCCACAGGACCTCATGATTAACAGACAGAGGCATGTAGTCATGGTGCCTGTGTTTAAAAGTATCATGACCGAATTGTTGTACACCACTATCAGAGGGCATAACACTTATACCCCCCATAAGTTGCAAAGACGCTGTTTGATGACTGAAGAATTAGGCAGATGAACAGGAGGAAGATATCCAAGACTGCTACATGTGGGTGTGGAACGGGACACACAGAGTTTGTGGTGAAGACCTGTTGCAAACAAGTGAATATAGAGAATACCCGGAGTTATGTTATCCACCTGAAGACTTGGTGATGTCCAGACTCTGTCCTCATAATTTTGCTCCTCCGGATAAAACAGTCAGCCAAGATGATGAGTTTACTTAGAATGTGACATGCAGCATCCCAAGTATCCACAATACCAAAAGGCACAACTACAGTTTATGGTGTCGTTTGCCATTTGTTTTCACAATAGAATGTTTCTTGGTATACTTGCAGTTAGTAGTGAGACTCAACATATTTTCTGGCCTTTTTGTTTGCTTTGAATGGTAACATCCACCAGTCAGGTTTTATCAACATGACATGACCATTCAGGGTTTATGTCAGTTCATCCTGGTTCCCTGGGTGTACTGCACTGGTGCTTCAGTAACCCTGGCAAGGACTGCACAATGGCGGCCTTCACTACTGGGTGACATGCCATATATTTACTGTTGAAAAGGAGTCAAGAACAGGTGGTTAGAATTTTTCTTTTCATTTGCACTGATATTATACTAAAGTACTTGTCACCAGAATAATGCCTATCATTACTTTTAGAAAAGGAAAATGTTATTTAACCCCTTGGATTCCGAGTTTTTTCAGGTGTACATTTTCATAAGGTTTGAAAAGTGAACGTTGTGCGAGAATTGCTTTTGCATGGTCCTGGATCTGCGTACAGCTATAAAATTACACAGAAAAGTAGAATATTAAATTTCCTATCCGTTGGTAGAAATAGAAGTGCAAATACCTCGGCGGTTTGAGAAGTAAACACACTAAATGTTGTCAAAAAATTTGTTATGTGTTAAAAAACAGTAAATTTATCCGCTTTTTATCGTGCATCGATAAAAGCACTGTGCTACTATTTTTGTAATTTGGCATCTTCACGGAAAGTGTGAGTGAAGAAAATACAGCCTTATATCTGAAAGACATAAGTATAAATGAAATTGGTTTGTGTGCTTAAATGCATAAGGTTATAAGCTCAATCTTAAAAATGACTTGCAATAAATGTCGAAAATGGATTTTCTTCTATGACGTCAAACAACAGAGAGGTCATACACGTATAAAGATAAGGGGGCATATAACTCTGCTATGCCTAACACTAGGTCAATGTAACTCAGATCCCTTGGAAAGAATTTGTTGTGGATATGGATGCTATATTTTCGTTATGTTTTGTTCACTGAGAACCAAACTATTCCAATACAAAGTTCCCCAATATTAGCGGATACGTTTTGGTAGTTTCACAAGGAAAGATGACAACGTACTACATGAGAAAGCATGTAATAGTGATTTGAATAGCCCTATCCCATATGTAAACTAGTTCTTAGATTCCCATATTCGTCTCTTTTTGTAGATGTATTTTGAATAATTTTGCATCAGTATTAACAGAATACTAGCCCTATCTTCACATGTAACGAAATTACTGAAAAGATTACAACATTTTAGTTGACATCGTTGCTTGTTTTATGTATATTGTTGTGATGTTGGAGAAAGACGACATTGGTATGCTGATTAGTATATATCTCACCTAATTTACATTAATTGTATAAAAGGTCTCGGCTTCAATGTAAAAATTTATGACTCTAGAAAAAACATAACATGACTGATTTTACTATTTAAATATTGTCCTGACTATATCAACAATTAGATGGTTTGACTCTGTATCATATTGTGAGCAACCCGCGCCCATGTATGGCATCCATTTAATGTAAATGAAAAATAATATTTCACAACACCTGAATATTTATTTTAGGATAAGACTTTCATTGTTCATGATTATGTAGCTGTTTCTCTTCATAAGTATGTAATGACAAATGCAAAAAAGGTAGCTTTTTTGTGTTGAACTATTAGAATATGGATGTAAGGTTTGTCCAAATTAAGATATGACATGGTTTATATATTTTTAAACAATTTTCGTATATAAATTTAGTTTAGAGTTTGATATCCTGTCATCACAATATTTATATTCGAATATGAATTTATTATATTGAATTATAGTGAATCATAAAACGTTTCTGACAAACGCGCACCTGGACAATCAATATACATCATTGTTTTGTCTATAAAACGACACAAATTCAATGAACAAGACAATTCCTTTAAATATGTGTGCATATACATTTCATAAAATCATTTTCACATCAATTTTACTTATCGGTTGAATTAAATCGCTGTTCATGTACCTGTTTATATGAAACTGCAATATTAGTCCCAGTGTATTGAATGTTGAACAACATAGGAACTAAAGTACATGTTGCAGTTATAGTCCAGTCAATCTAAGTTTTAACCGTCAACTGTCTGCAAAAGAAATGTTTTTAGCTGAAACAAAACACAGATGTATCGCTCAACAACATAATAAAAGTCTAAAAAAATCTAGGGGGTGGAAATATGTATATTTTTACTTTAAACATTGAACTATTTTTTGCAATGCAGCTCGCATTGCTGGGCCACCATAGTATGAAAGGGACGTAACTCTCAACGTTTGCGGTGACCTTCATGTAGGTGAACGTAGAAATCAAAGTTGGAATTATGGACAATTCATCAATTTTGGGTAAGTATGTATCTTTTAAATCTATAAATGTACCATTAACATAAATTAAGTTGACAGTGATATTATAAACTGAACGCCAAAAGAAATGTTACACTTCTGAACATTAGAATATCCTATAATGTTATATGGATAGAAGCTTAAGACTTTGGTTTGGTATGTTTTAACAACCAATCATGTAACTCTATGGAGGCAAAACATCAGACTGAGGAAGTCATTGATAATTAGGATATCGACATGTTTGTTTAGGTGGGGTCTCATTGTCCTATTTTCAATCATGTAAAAATTCAAATCAAAAGTGTAAAAAACAGTTAAAAATGGGTCCAAATGATATTGTTTATGATGATAATGCATGCACATTCACAAAGAGTGATCAAGTTGGGCTTTGGATATGAAAGAATGGTTGTTTACCGTAAAAAGGGACCCAATGTTTAAATTGGATTTTTGTCTCTTTAAAACACATTCCAACCACTTGAGGTTTAATTTTTGGATCATCATGACTTTCGACTGTTTTAGGAAGAGTCGTCAAACGAGAAAAGACTAATTTTTCCCTTAGATACTGTTAAATTTTGCCTATTTCTGTCCTTGTATAAGGAAGCATAACGCCAAAACGTACCCATTGTAACTTCACCTTGCATGAAATGCACTTGAAAACTGTTGGAAACGGGTATATAAGGCCCCTAGATTTATCATTTCACACCATACATTCACTACAATGCCGAGATTAACAGCACAAGAGCGGCAGAGGGCCATTGGAATGCTGCAGACTGGGTCGACTGATCGGGAAGTGGTTGTAACTGGTGGCCTCCCGCTTCTGGGTCTGTCTCTAGTTGTGCCAGTATTCGGGTGCATTCGGGTGTCATCGCCTCACCATTCAAAGGCTGCGTCAGCGATTCCAGAATACTGGCACAACTAGAGACAGACCCAGAAGCGGGAGGCCACCATTTACAACCACTTCCCGATCAGTCGACCTAGTCTGCAGCATTCCAATGGCCCTCTGCCGCTCTTGTGCTGTTAATCTCGGCATTGTAGTGAATGTATGGTGTGAAATGATAAATCTAGGGGCCTTATATACCCGTTTCCAACAGTTTTCAAGTGCATTTCATGCAAGGTGGAGTTACAATGGGTACGTTTTGGCGTTATGCTTCCTTATACAAGGACAGAAATAGGCAAAATTTTACAGTATCTAAGGTAAAACTTAGTCTTTTCTCGTTTGACGACTCTTCCTAAAACAGTCGAAAGTCATGATGATCCAAAAATTAAACCTCAAGTGGTTGGAATGTGTTTTAAAGAGACAAAAATCCAATTTAAACATTGGGTCCCTTTTTACGGTAAACAACCATTCTTTCATATCCAAATCCCAGCTTGATCACTCTTTGTGAATGTGCATGCATTATCATCATAAACAATATCATTTGGACCCATTTTTAACTGTTTTTTACACTTCTGATTTGAATTTT